GCACATGTGTAGAGAAAATGGTGCATCGGCCAGTCTGGCCGGCATTTCGCACTTATAGTGCAAGTAGGGCCAAGGAGAACGGAAACGCTCATTTCTCAAAAAGTAAAGGGAATCTAGCGGTCTGACTCGATCAGAAGGTGGGAGATATATAAATCTAGTGAGCTAATACGGTTCGGAAGGAATCTAATGCATATGTATATGGAAAGTGGTGCCTGGCCAGGTCGGTCAGTATGGGAACTTAGAGTGCAAATGCCTGGGAGAACGGAACCGCTCAAATCTCGCACAATACACAGAATCTAGTGGTCTCACTCAAATATAAGGTAGGACATAAATTCATCTAGTGAACGTAAGGGTTTGAAAGGTAACTAACGCACATGTGTAGAGAAAATGGTGCATCGGCCAGTCTGGCCGGGATTTCGCACTCATAGTGCAAGTAGGGCCAAGGAGAACGGAAACGCTCATTTCTCAAAAAGTAGAGGGAATCTAGCAGTCTCACTCGATCAGAAGGTGGGAAATATATAAATCTAGTGAGCTAATAAGGTTCGAAAGGAATCTAATGCATATGTATATGGAAAGTGGTGCATTGGCCAGGTCGATCAGTATGGGAACTTGGAGTGCAAATGCCTCGGAGAACGGAACCGCTCAGATCTCGCATAATACAGGGAATCTAGTGGTCTCACTCCAAGATAAGGTAGGAAATTTATTCATCTAGTGAACGTAAGGGTTTGAAAGGTAACTAACGTACATGTGTAGACAAAATGGTGCATCGGCCAGTCTGGCCGGCATTTCGCACTCATAGTGCAGGTGGGGCCAGGGAGAACGGAAACGCTCGCTTCTCAAAAAGTAGAGGGAATCTAACGGTCTCACTCGATCAGAAGGTAGGAAATATATAAATCTAGTCAGCTAAAAAGGTTTGAAATGTATTCAACGCACATGTATAGAGAAAATGGTGCATTGGCCAGGTCGGTCAGTATCGGAACTTAAAATGCAGATGCCAGGGAGAACGGAAGCGCTCAGATCTCGCATAGTACACGGAATCAAGGGGTCTCACTCAAATAGAAAGTAGGAAATATATTTTTCTAGTGAACGTAAGGGTTTGAAAGGTAACTAACGCACATGTGTAGAGAAAATTGTGCATCGGCCAGTCTGGCCGGCATTTCGCACTTATAGTGCAAGTAGGGCCAAGGAGAACGGAAACGCTCATTTCTCAAAAAGTAGAGGGAATCTAGCGGCCTCACTCGATCAGAAGGTGGGAAATATATTTATCTAGTGAGCTAATAAGGTTCGAAAGGAATCTAATGCATATGTATATGGAAAATGGTGCATAGGCCAGGTCGGTCAGTATGGGAACTTAGAGTGCAAATGCTAGGGAGAACGGAAGCGCTCAGATCTCGCTTAGTACACGAAATCTAGTGGTCTCACTCAAATAGAAGGTAGGAAATATATTCATCTAGTAAACGTAAGGGTTTGAAAGGTAACTCAAGCACATGTGTAGAGAAAATGGTGCATCGGCCAGTCTAGCCGGCATTTCGCACTTGTAGTGCAAGTAGGGCCAAGGAGAACGGAAACGCTCATTTCTCGAAAAGAAGAGGGAATCTAGCGGTCTCACTGGATCACAAGGTGGGAAATATATAAATCTAGTGAGCTAATAAGGTTCGAAAGGAATCTAATGCATATGTATATGGAAAATGGTACATTGGCCAGGTCGGTCAGTATGGGAACTTAGAGTGCAAATGCCAGGGAGAACAGAAGCGCTCAGATCTCGCATAGTACACGAAATCTAGTGGTCTCACTCAAATAGAAGGTAGGAAATAAATTCATCTAGTGAACGTAAGGGTTTGAAAGGTAACTAACGCACATGTGTAAAGAAAATGGTGCATCGGCCAGTTTGGCCGGTATTTCGCACTTATAGTCCAACTAGGGCCAAGGAGAACGGAACCGCTCATTTCTCAAAAAGTAAAGGGAATCTAGCGGTCTCACTCGATCAGAAGGTGGGAAATATATAAATCTAGTGAGCTAATAAGGTTTGGAAGGAATCTAATGCATATGTATATGGAAAGTGGGGCATTGGCCAGGCCGGTAAGTATGGGAACTTAGAGTGCAAATGCCTGGGAGAACGGAACCGCTCAGATCTCGCATAGTACACGGAATCTAGTGGTCTCACTCAAATAGAAGGTAGGAAATAAATTTATCTAGTGAACGTAAGGGTTTGAAAGGTAACTAACGCACATGTGTAGAGAAAATGGTGCATCGGCCAGTCTGGCCGGCATTTCGCACTTTTAGTGCAACTAGGGCCAAGGAGTACGGAAACGCTCATTTCTCAAAAAGTAGAGGGAATCTAGCGGCCTCACTCGATCAGAAGGTGGGAAATATATTTATCTAGTGAGCTAATAAGGTTCGAAAGGAATCTAATGCATATGTATATGGAAAATGGTGCATAGGCCAGGTCGGTCAGTATGGGAACTTAGAGTGCAAATGCCAGGGAGAACGGAAGCGCTCAGATCTCGCTTAGTACACGAAATCTAGTGGTCTCACTCAAATAGAAGGTAGGAAATATATTCATCTAGTAAACGTAAGGGTTTGAAAGGTAACTAACGCACATGTGTAGAGAAAATGGTGCATCGGCCAGTCTAGCCGGCATTTCGCACTTGTAGTGCAAGTAGGGCCAAGGAGAACGGAAACGCTCATTTCTCGAAAAGAAGAGGGAATCTAGCGGTCTCACTGGATCACAAGGTGGGAAATATATAAATCTAGTAAGCTAATAAGGTTCGAAAGGAATCTAATGCATATGTATATGGAAAATGGTACATTGGCCAGGTCGGTCAGTATGGGAACTTAGAGTGCAAATGCCAGGGAGAACAGAAGCGCTCAGATCTCGCATAGTACACGGAATCTAGTGGTCTCACTCAAATAGAAGGTAGGAAATAAATTCATCTAGTGAACGTAAGGGTTTGAAAGGTAACTAACGCACATGTGTAAAGAAAATGGTGCATCGGCCAGTTTGGCCGGTATTTCGCACTTATAGTCCAACTAGGGCCAAGGAGAACGGAACCGCTCATTTCTCAAAAAGTAAAGGGAATCTAGCGGTCTCACTCGATCAGAAGGTGGGAAATATATAAATCTAGTGAGCTAATAAGGTTTGGAAGGAATCTAATGCATATGTATATGGAAAGTGGGGCATTGGCCAGGCCGGTAAGTATGGGAACTTAGAGTGCAAATGCCTGGGAGAACGGAACCGCTCAGATCTCGCATAGTACACGGAATCTAGTGGTCTCACTCAAATAGAAGGTAGGAAATAAATTTATCTAGTGAACGTAAGGGTTTGAAAGGTAACTAACGCACATGTGTAGAGAAAATGGTGCATCGGCCAGTCTGGCCGGCATTTCGCACTTTTAGTGCAACTAGGGCCAAGGAGTACGGAAACGCTCATTTCTCAAAAAGTAGAGGGAATCCAGCGGTCTCACTCGATCAGAAGGTGGGAAATATATAATTATAGTGAGCTTATAAGGTTCGAAAGGAATCTAATGCATATGTATATGGAAAATGGTGCATTGACCAGGTCGGTCAGTATGGGAACTTAGAGTGCAAATGCCAGGGAGAACGGAAGCGCTCAGATCTCGCATAGTACACGGAATCTAGTGGTCTCACTCAAATAGAATGTAGGAAATAAATTCATCGAGTGAACGTAAGGGTTTGAAAGGTAACTAACGCACATGGGTAGAGAAAATGGTGCATCGGCCAGTCTGGCCGGCATTTCGCACTTTTAGTGCAACTAGGGCCAAGGAGAACGGAAACGCTCATTTCTCAAAAAGTAAAGGGAATCTAGCGGTCTCACTCGATCAGAAGGTGGGAAATATATAAATCTAGTGAGCTAATAATGTTCGGAAGGAATCTAATGCATATGTATATGGAAAGTGGTGCATTGGCCAGGTCGGTCAGTATGGGAACTTAGAGTGCAAAGCATCGGAGAACGAAAGCGCTCAGATCTCGCATAGTACACGGAATCTAGTGGTCTCACTCAAATAGAAGGTAGGAAATAAATTCATCTAGTGAACGTAAGGGTTTGAAAGGTAACTAACGCACATGTGCAGAGAAAATGGAGCATCGGCCAGTCTCGCCGGCATTTCGCACTTATAGTGCAAGTAGGGCCAAGGAGAACGGAAACGCTCATTTCTCAAAAAGTAGAGGGAATCTAGCAGTCTCACTCAAACAGAAGGTGGGAAATATATAAATCTAGTGAGCTAATAAGGTTCGAAAGGAATCTAATACATATGTATATGGAAAATGGCGCTCAGATCTCGCATAATACACGGAATCTAGTGGTCTCACTCAAATATAAGGTAGGGAATATATTCATCTAGTGAACGTAAGGGTTTGAAAGGTAACTAACGCACATGTGTAGAGAAAATGATGCATTGGCCAGTCTGGCCGGCATTTCGCACTCATAGTGCAGGTGGGGCCAGGGAGAACGGAAACGCTCATTTCTCAAAAAGTAGAGGGAATCTAACGGTCTCACTCGATGAGAAGGTGGGAAATATATAAATCTAGTCAGCTAAAAAGGTTTGAAATGTATTCATCGCACATGTATAGAGAAAATGGTGCATTGGCCACGTCGGTCAGTATCGGAACTTAAAATGCAAATGCCAGGGAGAACGGAAGCGCTCAGATCTCGCATAGTACACGGAATCAAGTGGTCTCACTCAAATAGAAAGTAGGAAATCTATTCATCTAGTGAACGTAAGGGTTTGAAAGGTAACTAACGCACATTTGTAGAGAAAATTGTGCATCGGCCAGTCTGGCCGGCATTTCGCACTTATAGTGCAACTAGGGCCAAGGAGAACGGAAACGCTCATTTCTCAAAAAGTAGAGGGAATATAGCGGTCTCACTCGATCAGAAGGTGGGAAATATAAAAATCTAGTGAGCTAATAAGGTTCCAAAGGAATCTAATACATATGTATATGGAAAATGGTGCATTGGCCAGGTCGGTCAGTATGGGAACTTAGAGTGCAAATGACAAGGACGTGGACGTGGACGTGGACGTGGACATGGACATGGACATGGACGTGGACATGGACGTGGACGTGGACATGGACGTGGATGTGGACATGGACGTGGACGTGTCCATGTCCATTTCCACGTCCACGTCCACGTCTATGTCCACGTCCACGTTCACTTCCACGTCCATGTCCATGTCCATTTCCACGTCCACGTCCATGTCCACGTCCACGTCCATGTCCAAGTCCATGTCCCTGTCTACGTCCACGTCCACGTCCATGTCCACGTCCACGTCCTCGTCCACGTCCAGGTCCTTGCCATGTCTACGTCCACGTCCACGTCCACGTCCATGTCCACGTCCACGTCCATGTCCAAGACCACGTCCACGTCCACGACTACGTCCACGTCCACGTCCACGTCTAAGTCCATGTCCACGTCCACGTCCACGTCCACGTCCACATCCACGACCATGTCTTCGTCCACGTCCACGTCCACGTCCATGTCCACGTCCATGTCCACGTCCAAGTTCTCCACGTCCACGTCCACTTCCACGTCGACGTCCACGTCCATCTCCACGTCCACGTCCATGTCCACGTCCACGTCCATGTCCACGTCCACGTCCACGTCCACGTCAACGTCCATCTCCACGTCCAAGTCCTCCACGTCCACGTCCACGTCCATCTCCACGCCCACGTCCACGTCCATGTCCACGCCCATGTCCACATCCATGTCCACGTCCATGTCCACGTCCATGTCCATGTCCACGTCCATGTCCACGTCCATGTCCACGTCCATGTCCACGTCCACGTCCATGTCCACGTCCACGTCCATGTCCACGTCCACGTCCACGTCCATGTCCACGTCCATGTCCACGTCCATGTCCACGTCCACGTCCATGTCCACGTCCATGTTCACGTCCACGTCTTGTTGACGTCCACGTCCATTTCCACGTCCACGTCCACGTCCACGTCCACGACCATGTCCACGTCCACGTCCATGTCCACGTCCACGTCCATGTCCACGTCCACGTCCACGTCCACGTCTATGTCCACGTCCACGTCCGCGTCCACATCCATATCCATGTCCATGTCCACGTCCACGTCCACGTCCACATCCATGTCCACGTCCACGTCCACGTCTATGTCCACGTCCACGTCCATGTCCACCTCCACGTCCACGTCCATGTCCACGTCCAAGTCCTCCACGTCCACGTCCACGTCCACGTTCACGTTCACGTCCATGTCCACGTCCAAGTTCTCCACGTCCACGTCCACGTCCACGTCCTCCACGTCCACGTCCACGTCCACGTCCACGTCTACGTCCACGTCCATGTCCACGGCCACGTCCACGTCCACGTCCATCTCCACGTCCACGTCCACGTCCACGTCCACGTCCACGTCCACGTCCACGTCCACGTCCATGTCCACGTCCACGTCCACGTCCACTCCACGTCCACGTCCACGTCCACGTCCACGTCCACGTCCACGTCCACTTCCACGTCCATGTCCACGTCGACGTCGACGTCCACGTCCACGTCCACGTCCATGTCCACGTCCACGTCCACGTCCACGTCCACGTCACGTCCACGTCCACGTCCATGTCCACGTCAACGTCCACTCCACGTCCACGTCCATGTCCACGTCCAAGTCCTCCACGTCCACGTTCACGTCCGTGTCCACGTCCAAGTTCTCCACGTCCACGTCCACGTCCACGTCCTCCACGTCCACGTCCACGTCCACGTCCACGTCCATGTCCACATCCACGTCCACGTCCACGTCCACGTCTACGTCCACGTCCACCTCCACGTCCACGTCCAGGTCCATGTCCACGTCCACGTCCACGTCCACGTCCACGTCCACGTCCAGGTCCATGTCCACGTCCACGTCTACGTCCACGTCCATGTCCACGTCCACGTCCACGTCCAAGTCCACGTCCACGTCTACGTCCACGTCCACCTCCACGTCCACGTCCACGTCCACATCCACGTACACGTCCACGTCCACGTCCACGTCCACGTCCACGTCCACGTCCACGTCCACGTCCACGTCCACGTCCACGTCCACCTCCACGTCAACGTCCACGTCCACGTCCACGTCCACGTCCACGTCCTCGTCCACTCCACGTCCATCGTCCATGTCCACGTCTACGTCCACGTCCACGTCCACGTCCATCTCCACGTCCACGTCCACGTCCACGTCCCAGTCCACGTCCACGTCCACGTCCACTCCACGTCCACGTCCACGTCCCAGTCCACGTCCACGTCCACGTCCACGTCCACGTCCATGTCCACGTCCACGTCCACGTCCACGTCTACGTCTACGTCCACGTCCACGTCCAGGTCCAGGTCCACGTCCACGTCCACGTCCACGTCCATGTCCACGACCAGGTCCACGTCCACGTCCACGTCCACGTCCACGTCCATGTCCACGTCCATGTCCACGTCCACGTCCTCGTCCACGTCCTCGTCCACGTCCAGGTCCACGTCCATGTCTACGTCCACGTCCACGTCCACATCCATGTCCTTGCCACGTCCATGTCCAAGACCACGTCCACGTCCACGACCACGTCCACGTCCACGTCCACGTCCACGTCTAAGTCCATGTCCACGTCCACGTCCACGTCCACGTCCACATCCACGACCATGTCTTCATCCACGTCCACGTCCACGTCCATGTCCACGTCCATGTCCACGTCCACGTCCACGTCCACTTCCACGTCCACGTCCACGTCAACGTCCATCTCCACGTCCAAGTTCTCCACGTCCACGTCCACTTCCACGTCGACGTCCACGTACATGTCCACGTCCATGTCCACGTCCACGTCCACGTCCATGTCCACGTCTATGTCCATGTCCACGTCCACGTCCACGTCCACGTCAACGTCCATCTCCACGTCCAAGTCCTCCACGTCCACGTCCACGTCCATGTCCACGTCCACGTCCACGTCCACGCCCACGTCCACGTCCACGTCCATGTCCACGTCCATGTCCACGTCCACGTACATGTCCACGTCCATGTCCACGTCCATGTCCACGTCCACGTCCACGTCCACGTCCACGTCCATGTCCACGTCCACGTCCACGTCCACGTCCATGTCCACGTCCACGTCCACGTCCACGTCCATGTCCACGTCCACGTCCACGTCTACGTCCACGTCCACGTCCACGTCCACGTCCACATCCACGTCCACGTCCACGTCCACGTCCATGTCCATGTCCACGTCCACGTCCACGTCCACGTCCACTCCACGTCCATGTCCACGTCCATGTCTACGTCCACGTCCACGTCCACGTCCACGTCCATCTCCACGTCCACGTCCACGTCCACGTCCACGTCCACGTCCACGTCCATGTCCACGTCCACGTCCACGTCCACGTCCACGTCCACGTCCACTCCACGTCCACGTCCACGTCCACGTCCACGTCCACGTCCACGTCCATGTCCACGTCCACGTCCACGTCCATGTCCACGTCCACGTCCACGTCCACGTCCACGTCCAGGTCCAGGTCCACGTCCACGTCCATGTCCACGTCCATGTCCACGACCAGGTCCACGTCCAGGTCCACGTCCACGTCCACGTCCATGTCCACGTCCACGTCCACGTCCATGTCCACGTCCATGTCCACGTCCACGTCCTCGTCCACGTCCAGGTCCACGTCCATGTCTACGTCCACGACAACGTCCACGTCCATGTCCACGTCCACGTCCATGTCCAAGACCACGTCCACGTCCACGACCACGTCCACGTCCACGTCCACGTCTAAGTCCATGTCCACGTCCACGTCCACGTCCACGTCCACGTCCACATCCACGACCATGTCTTCGTCCACGTCCACGTCCACGTCCATGTCCACGTCCATGTCCACGTCCAAGTTCTCCACGTCCACGTCCCCTTCCACGTCGACGTCCACGTACATGTCCACGTCCATGTCCACGTCCACGTCCATGTCCACGTCCACATCCATGTCCACGTCCACGTCCACGTCGACGTCAACGTCCATCTCCACGTCCAAGTCCTCCACGTCCACGTCCACGTCCATCTCCACGTCCACGTCCACGTCCACGTCCACGCCGACGTCTACGTCCACGTCCATGTCCACGTCCATGTCCACGTCCATGTCCACGTCCATGTCCACGTCCATGTCCATGTCCACGTCCATGTCCACGTCCATGTCCGCGTCCATGTCCACGTCCACGTCTATGTCCACGTCCACGTCCACGTCCATGTCCACGTCCATGTCCACGTCCATGTCCACGTCCACGTCCATGTCCCTCTATGTTCACGTCCACGTCTTGTTCACGTCCACGTCCATGTCCACGTCCACGTCCATGTCCACGTCCATGTCCACGTCCACGTCCACGTCCACGTCCATGTCCACGTCCACGTCCACGTCCATGTCCACGTCCACGTCCATGTCCACGTCCACGTCCATGTCCACGTCCAAGTCCTCCACGTCCACGTCCACGTCCACATCCACGTTCACGTCCATGTCCACGTCCAAGTTCTCCACGTCCACGTCCACGTCCACGTCGTCCACGTCCACGTCCACGTCCATGTCCACGGCCACACGTCCACGTCCACGTCCATCTCCACATCCACGGCCACGTCCACGTCCACGTCCACGTCCACGTCCAGGTCCACGTCCACGTCCACTCCACGTCCACGTCCACGTCCACGTCCACGTCCACGTCCACGTCCATGTCCACCTCCACGTCCACGTCCATGTCCACCTCCACGTCCACCTCCACCTCCACGTCCACCTCCACGTCCACGTCCACGTCCACGTCCAGTCCACGTCCACGTCCACGTCCACGTCCACGTCCATTCCACGTCCACGTCCACCTCCACGTCCATGTCCACGTCCACGTCCACGTCTATGTCCACGTCCACGTCCACCTCGACGTCCACCTCCACGTCCAAGTCCACGTCTACGTCCACGTCCACGTCCACGTCCACGTCCACGTCCACCTCCACGTCCACCTCCACGTCCACCTCCACGTCCACCTCCACGTCCATGTCCACGTCCACGTCCACGTCCACGTTATGTCCACGTCCACGTCCACGTCCATGTCCACGTCCACGTCCACGTCCACGTCCACGTCCACGTCCACGTCCACGTTATGTCCACGTCCACGTCCACGTCCATGTTCACGTCCACGTTCACGTTCACGTCCACGTCCATGTCCACGTTCATGTCCACGTCCACGTCCACGTCCACGTCCACGTCCGTGTCCACCTCCACGACCACGTCCACCTCCACGTCCACCTCCACGTCCACCTCCACGTCCACCTCCACGTCCACCTCCACGTCGACGTCCACGTCCACCTCCACGTTCATGTCCACGTCCACGTCCACGTCCACGTCCATGTTATGTCCACGTCCACGTCCACGTCCACGTCCACGTCCACGTTATGTCCATGTCCACGTCCACGTCCACGTTCACGTCCACGTCCACGTTCACGTCCACGTCCATGTCCACGTCCACGTCCACGTCCACGTCCACGTCCACCTCCACGTCCACGTCCGTGTCCACCTCCACGACCACGTCCACCTCCACGTCCACCTCCACGTCCACGTCCACATCCACGTCCACCTCCACGTCCAAGTCCTCCACGTCCATGTCCACGTCCACGTCCAAGTCCTCCACGTCCACGTCCACGTCCACGTCCACGTCCACGTACACGTCCACGTCCTTGTCCACGTCCACGTCCACGTACACGTCCACGTCCTTGTCCACGTCCACGTCCACGTCCACGACCACGTCTACGTCCACGACCATGAATACGTCCATGTCCATGTCCACGTCCATATCCACGTCCACGTCCATGTCCACGTCCATGTCCACGTCCATGTCCACGTCCACGTCCATGTCCACGTCAATGCCACGTCCACGTCCACGTCCACGTCCATGTCCACGTCCACGTCCACGTCCACGTCCATGTCCACGTCCACGTCCACGTCCATGTTCCTCCACGTCCACGTCCACGACCAGGTCCACGTCCATGTCCACGTCCACGTCCACGTCTACGTCCATGTCTACGTCCACGTTCACGTCCACGACCATGTCTCCGTCCACGTCCACGTCCACGTCCACGTCCACGTCCACGACCACGTCCACGTCCACGTCCACGTCCACGTCTACGTCCATGTCCACGTCCACGTCCACGTCCATGTCCACGTCCACGTCCATGTCCACGTCCATATCGACGTCAACGTCCATGTCCACGTCCACGTCCATATCCACGTCCATGTCCATATCCATGTCCACGTCCACGTCCACGACCACGTCCATGTCATTTGCACTCTAAGTTCCCATACTGACCGACCTGGCCAATGCACCATTTTCCATATACATATGCATTAGATTCCTTTCGAACCTTATTAGCTCACTAGATTTATATGTTTCCCACCTTTTGATCGAGTGAGACCGCTAGAAATGAGCGTTTCCGTTCTCCTTGGCCCTAGTTGCACTATAAGTGCGAAATGCCGGCCGGACTGGCCGATGCACAATTTTCTCTACACATGTGCGTTAGTTACCTTTCAAACCCTTACGTTCACTAGATGAATATATTTTCTCCTTTCTATTTGAGTGAGACCACTTGATTCCGTGTACTATGCGAGATCTGAGCGCTTCCGTTCTCCCTGGCATTTGCATTTTAAGTTCCGATACTGACCGACCTGGCCAATGCACCATTTTCTCTATACCTGTGCGTTGAATACATTTCAAACCTTTTTAGCTGACTAGATTTATATATTTCCCACCTTCTGATTGAGTGAGTCCGTTAGATTCCCTCTACTTTTTGAGGAACGAGCATTTTCGTTCTCCCTGGCCCCACCTGAACTATAAGTGCGAAATGCTGGCCCGATTGGCTGATGCACCATTTTCTCTACACATGTGCGTTAGTTACATTTCAACCCCTTACGTTCACTAGATGAATTTATTCCCTACCTTCTATTTGAGTGAGACCACTAGATTCCGTGTACTATGCCAGATCTGAGCGCTTCCGTTCTCCCTGGCATTTGCACTCTAAGTTCCCATACTGACCGACCTGGCCAATGCACCATTTTCCATATACATATGCATTAGATTCCTTTCAAACCTTATTAGCTCACTAGATTTATATATTTCCCACCTTCTGATTGAGTGAGATCGCTAGATTCCCTTTACTTTCTGAGAAATGAGCGTTTCCGTTCTCCTTGGCCCTACTTGCACTATAAGTGCGAAATGCCGGCCAGACTGGCCGATGCACAATTTTCTCTACACATGTGCGTTAGTTACCTTTCAAACCCTTACGTTCACTAGATGAATATATTTCCTATTTTCTATTTGAGTGAGACCACTTGATTCCGTGTACTATGCGAGATCTGAGCGCTTCCGTTCTCCCTGGCATTTGCATTTTAAGTTCCGATACTGACCGACCTAGCCAATGCACCATTTTTTCTATACATGTGCGTTGAATACATTTCAAACCTTTTTAGCTGACTAGATTTATATATTTCCCACCTTCTGATCGAGTGAGACCGTTAGATTCCCTCTACTTTTTGAGAAACGAGCGTTTCCGTTCTACCTGGCCCAACTGTCAAACATTATATATGTTCTGCTTGTGTAGGCTACAGTGGGTTAGCCTATAGGGGGTACACAATTCTAGGGTTTCCTACTTGTACTCATTTCACTGCTAGTTCATTCACTTTTCCTGTTCGCTTATTCTCACATGGTATCGAGCAGGTTCCCCTGTGGGAACTGTTCGTAGGGCCCACCACCGCTACCTCTTAACTTTTTTTCCTGCCCGGAGCGCGCTCCGGGCCCTAGTACTTCTTTTTTTTTTCGATCTGCCCTAGTGCTCTGAAGGCCGCCCGCCCTAGCGCCCGAGCGCCGCCGCCCTTGCGCCCTGACGGCCGCCCGCCCTAGTGCCCTGACGGCCGCCCGCTCTAGCGCCCGAACGCCGCCCGCCCTAGCGCCCTGACGGCCGCCCGCCCTAGCGCCCTGACGGCCGCCCGCCCTAGCGCCCGAGCGCCGCCCGCCCTAGCGCCCGAGCGCCGCCCGCCCTAGCGCCCGTGCGCCGCTCGCCCTAGCGCCCTGACGGCCGCCCGCCCTAGCGCCCTGACGGCCGCCCGCCCTAGCGCCCGAGCGCCGCCCGCCCTAGCGCCCGAGCGCCGCCCGCCCTAGCGCCCGTGCGCCGCTCGCCCTAGCGCCCTGACGGCTGCCGCCCTAGCGCCCTGTCGGCCGCCCGCCCTAGCACCCGAGCGCCGCCCGCCCTAGCGCCCCAGCGCAGCCCGCCCTTGCGCCCTGACGGCCGCCCGCCCTGACGCCTGAGCGCCGCCCGCCCTAGCGCCCTGACGGCCGCCCGCCCTGACGCCTGAGCGCCGCCCGCCCTAGCGCTCTGACGACCGCCCGCCCTGACGCCTGAGCGCCGCCCGTCGTCGCCCCAGCGCCCTAGCGCCCGACGCCCGCGAGCCGCCCGTCGCAGCCGCCCATGAGCTGCCTGTACGCCGCCCGCCGAGCCGCCCGTGCACCCGCCCAGCGTGAGCCGCCCACGACCGCCCAGGCTGCCGTCCCCTTCTACCGGCCCCGCAACTGCACCTGCTGGCCCCGCCGCTGCACCTACCGGCCCCCACCACCCACCCCCCCTTTTCCCGTCGCCTAGACCTGAGGCCAGCAGAGGGGTGGCAGGTGTGTGGCCTCCCCTGCTTCTCCTCCTCCTTCATCGCTCACCTGCAGCAGCCGAGCCGCCCCACCGCCGAGCCGCCCTGCACCCGAGCCGCCCAGCAGCCGAGCCGCCCTGCCGCCGAGCCGCCGGGTCGCTGAGCTGCTGAGCTGCAGTTGCTGCCGAGCCGCCCTGCCGCCGAGCCGCCGAGTCACCGAGCTGCTGAGCTGCAGTTGCTGCCGAGCCGCCTTGCCGCCGAGCCGCCCGAGTCGCCCGAGCCGCCGAGCCGCCAAGCTGCCGAGCCGCTGAATCGCCGAGCCTACTCTTCCCACCACTGGTGAGCTCTTGCCCTGCTAGCACGCTGCGCGTCGCCTGCTTGCCTGCCTGCCTGCCTTTTGGCTTGCCTGGCTGCCTGCCTTCCTGCTGCTAGTCCTGCTCCTGCTTCTACTTGCGGAGCCAGATGCAGCCCCAGCGACGCCTGCGTGAGTCCCTCACGCCCCAGCAGCTGCGTGAGTGGTACGCTGGTTGGGGCTGTAGGGGTGGCGACGCTACTCCTACTTCCACTCCTGCTGCTTCTACTCGTGGTGGCGGCCAGATGCAGCTCCCGCGACCCTCTCGCGTGTCTCTCACGCCTCGCCAGCTTCGTGAGTGGTACGCTCAGAGTGGAGGGTCTCTCAGTGCTGTTCGCTGCTCTTACGTGATTCGCACTGGTACTCGGACTGGTCAGCCTTGTGGGACACGTAGTCATACACAGTCTCGCTGCTTCGCCCGTCTGAGCGACGCCTGGCGTACCGTGTTTGGCGACGAGGCTGAGCTTCCCGACTGGGTGGAGTTGCTTAGGCAGAGGGTAGATATATATGCTCTTGACTATGATGCTATTCTCACTGCCATGTATGTATTGCCTACTAGTGCTGACCGTGCCGGTCACCTGTGCGTCCCGCCTGACCCAGGTATAGGACCTGCTGCTCTAGCTACTGGTGAGGCTGCTGCTCTGGGTGCTAGTGAGTCTCCTGCTCCAGGTACAGGTGCGGCTGCTGCTCTAGGTGCTAGTGAGTCTGCTTCCTCAGGTGCGGGTGAGGCTGCGCTCTCAGGTACCGCGTTGGCTTCGGCCTCCCTCACCTTTACACTTGACTCTAGGGCTTCTCGCTCCTTCTTTCGGGACCGCACCACACTCACGCCGCTTGGTCGGCCGGTTGCTGTCTCCCTGGCTGACCCCTCTGGGGGTTCTGTCCTCGCTCACTTCTCCACTGTCCTCCCGTGTCCGGCTGCCCCCTCGGGCACCCTGTCTGGCCTGTACCTCCCCTCGTTCTCGACGAACTTGGTGAGTGGTGCAGACCTGCAGGATGCGGGGGTTCACCAGTTCACTCCTGCGAGTCAGCGGGTGACCCACTGCACGGACGCACGCACAGGCCGGCACCTGGCCACGTTCTCGCGTCGGCCGGGGTCGAGCCTCTACACCCTGACCACTGAGTCTCCTCCTGTCCACGCGTCCGGTCAGGTAGCAGCGTCGGGTCAGGTGTTTGCTGCTGCGTCCAGGTCTGGTCCTGAGTCTGCCCCCTGTTCGTGTCGCCTCCTGACTCACGAGACTCTTCTGTGGCACCACCGTCTAGGCCACCCCTCCTTGCCCCGTCTTCGGGGCATGGCTTCCCGTGTCCTTGTCTCTGGTCTTCCCCAGTCTCTCCCTCCCCTTCCTTCGGGACCAGGACCTTCCTGTGTCCCCTGTATCGAGGGGCGCCTCAGGGCTGCTCCTCACTCCTCCCAGTTTCCCCCGACAGAGGCTCCTCTGCAGACGCTTCACATGGACGTGTGGGGCCCGGCCCCCGTCCGTGGGCAGGGTCACGAGCGCTACTTCCTGTTGGTGGTTGACGACTACTCGCGTTACACCTCAGTCTTCCCCTTGCGCAGCAAGGGTGCTGTCACTGAGGTGCTGATCGACTGGATCCGCGAGGCTCGTCTCCAGCTCAGGAGGAGCTTCGGCTCGGACTTTCCTGTTCTGCGTCTGCACTCTGACCGAGGTGGGGAGTTCTCCTCTCGCCTTCTGCGAGACTACTGTCGTGCACAGGGGATCCGCCAGACCTTTACGCTTCCGGACTCTCCACAGCAAAATGGGATTGCTGAGCGCCGCATTGGCATGGTCATGGATGTCGCTCGTACGTCCATGATGCATGCGGCTGCCCCCCATTTTCTGTGGCCGTTTGCGGTTCGGTACGCGGCGCATCAGCTCAACCTTCACCCCAGGGTCTCTCGGCCCGCGATGTCCCCAGTGTTACTGTGGACGGGGAAGGTCGGCGATGCGTCTGCGTTCCGTGTCTGGGGATCTCGGGCGTTTGTCCGCGACTTGTCTGCGGACAAGCTGTCCCCCCCGTGCTGCTCCCTGTGTCTTCCTTGGCTTCCCCCCTGACGCTCCAGGGTGGCAGTTCTACCACCCCTCCTCTCGTCGTGTTCTGTCCTCCCAGGACGTCACGTTCGACGAGTCAGTCCCCTTCTACCGCCTCTTCCACTACCGTACTCCTTCCCTCCCCCCCCCACCGGACTTCCTGGTGCCAGTTCCCCCCCCGGTAGACCCCCTCCCCCCTCAGGTTCCTGCCCCTTCAGGTGTGTCCCAGGTAGACACAGTCGAGCCAGTCGAGGTTGCTGCTGAGTCTGG